CGTTTGTGTAAGAAAAATATCCATATTTACAACTTTATAAACCTTAATCTCTAACTTCCACTAACTGTCGTACGTGCGCACGAGAGAGTGGCATTCAGCAAATGAAGTAGGCGTAGCGTAAGCTCCAGTGAGAATATGCTAGTCTTGCGAGAAACGAGTTTTGTTTACAGCAAAGGAAAACCAGTGTCTTCTTGGCTTATATGGCTTACAAATCCTCGTTTTGTACTACTAATTCGTGACCGGTGTTTTGTTTTGCTCTCTCCTCTGTGCTTCCATGTTCGTCACTTCCGCGTTCGTCACCGCGCTTGCCTACGTGCTACGTCATCCGCTGGACGCCACTCTCTCGTGAATGCGTGTATGACAGTTAGCGGAAGCGAGAGATTAAGGTTTATAAAGTTGTAAATATGGATATTTTTCTTACACAAACGCATCGTGTCGCTTCAGAAGGCCTTTATTAACCCCCTGGAGCCATGTGGACTTTTTTTTATAATGGATTGGTTCAATTTTTTGGACTTCAAATTTTGGGCTACCATCCACTCCCATTATAAAGTTTGGAGAAGACAGGATGTTTTTTAATATAACTCCGATTGTATTCGTCTGAAAGAAGGACGTCATATACACCTAGGATGGCTTGAAGGGGAGTAAATCATGGGCTAATTTGAATTTTTAGGTGAACTATCCCGTTAACATGCTTCATCTATGTATGTCCCATGGCCCAACCAGCAACCTACAATCGCGGAGGTGGAGGAATGCAGCGGGTTTCTGTTACAATGCTCACTATTCTTATAAATGAAACTTCATCTGGGTAACACTTTAGAATACTGTTACAGAATACATCATTACTGAATAACTGCACAAGAACACACAGGTAATGCAATATTAGCACTCTAGTAACTAGTATCTAACAAGAAACTCTGATTAATGAATTAGTAAGTAATAGTGCTTATTCGAATGTGGTAGTTCACTATTAGCTAATCAGTTACTACTATTTTTTCATACCTCCAAGAACTAATAAGAACTACTGTATACAGGTTCATAATTAATGTGAATAATACATCAGAATCAGAATGAGCTTTATTGCCAGGTATGTTTACACATACGAGGAATTTGTTTTCGTGACAGAAGCTCCACAGTGCAACAGAATGACAGTGACAGAACAAAAAAACTATAAAAAATAGAACACTTTTTATAGGAATAAAATAAGGAATAAAAATAAACAAATTGACAATTGTATGTACAGGTATATAACAATAGACAGTTGTATGTACAGGTATGTTATGTGCAAATTGAAATGTAGACTGAGTATGTGTGTTAGATAAATAAGTGTATGAGTGAATAAATAGTGTGTGTTCCACAGTTATTGTCAAGTGTTCATGACTCTGATCTCCTTTTCCAGTGTGTATTTAGCCTGTTTATACAATACATTGTCCTCCTTCCTGTAAGCATCTTCTTTGGCCTGACGAAGCTATCTGACTTTTGCAGTGAACCATGGTTTGTCGTTGTTGTAGGTTAAATGAGTCCTGATAGGAATGCACATATCTTCACAGAAACTGATATAAGATGTTACAGTCTCTGTGAGCTTGTCCAGATCGGTGGCAGCAGCTTCAAAAACACTCCAATCAGTGAGGTCAAAACAAGCTTTTAAATCCTGCTCTGCTTCATTAGTACATATTTTTACAGTCCTTAATACAGGTTTAGCTGATTTCAGTTTCTGCCTGTAGGTCGGTATAAGATTAACCAAACAGTGATCAGAGAGCCCCAAAGCTGCTCATGGGACAGAGTGATATGCATTCTTTATTGTGGTGTAACAGTGATCCAATATATTACTGTCTCTGGTGGGACATGTGATGTGCTGTCTGTATTTTGGCAGTTCACGGGAGAGATTGGCTTTATTAAAGTCCCTGAGAATGATTAGAGATTACAGAGTCCGGGTGTTGTTGTTCTGTGTCTGTGATCTGATCAGTGAGTTTCTGTAAAGCCGAGCTCACGTGCGCTTGCGGAGGAATGTAGACACTGACGAGAATGAATGAGCAAAACTCCTGCGGCGAGCAGAAAGGCTTGCAGTTAATGAAGAGCACTTCTAGATCTGAACAGCACATCTTCTTTAACACAGTTACATCTGTACACCACCTCTCATTGATGTAAAAGCATGTCCTGCTGCCGCGTGATTTCCCTGTTGATTCTGCGTCACAATCCTCTGAACAGCTGAAAGGGCGGGAGACTCGACGCGCTGTCCGGAATGGCATCTTTCAGCCAGGTTTCCGTGAAACACAGAGCAGCAGAGTTTGAAAAATCCTTATTTATCCGGGAGAGCAGAAGGAGTTCGTCCGTTTTGTTGGGTACAGAGCGGAGGTTCGCCAGATGGATGCTAGGCAACTGCGTTCTGAATCTGCGCTGCCCGAGCTTCCTCCATCTGCACGTCCTGAAGTGCTTGATCAGCGCAGCAGCTTCCCCGACTACAATGTCCAGCAAAACATCAGAATAGTCAAAAACCGGTGAAATATCGGGTGGTGTGTACTTCCGAATGTTCAGCAATTTGTCTCTGGTGAAACTGATTGCAGGGATATAACTAAAGACAGGACAAACTAACAAAAACAACTGCGGAGCACGCCACGGAGGCAGCCATCAGCGTCTGCGCCATCGCAAATTTCCCAAATAATATATAATTAATTCTAAAGTGAAGGTCATGGTACCCCACTAGTATTGACTCAAGTATTACCAAATTCTTCAGAAGGAATAACTAATTTTAAATCAGTATTCAAAAAGGGAAGATCACGACAATGATCACGAAATCATTGTAAGCTTTTGAGGGCTTTGTAAAGTATTGGATAGTAATTATTTAGCTGTTACTACATCCTTCTAATGCTGCGTTCACACCAAACGTGAATAGAGCGTCAAATTCGCATCTACCGCGTCTAGTTTGCCGCTTGAACATTTTGAATGCATTTGCGCGTCTAGAGCGAAATAGACGCACGTAAAAAACAAGCGTTTGAAGCGAAATTGACGCGCGTCCGAGGCGAAATCCGCTTCTTGTGGGAGGGGCAAGTGCTAGGCGGTTGTCTGTTTGCAAGATGGCTGATGTTGATCGAGCATTCATCGAGAGAGTTACCACTTTGTATTTGCTCTGGAGAGCAGAACAGCGGCGTAGGGGTCAGCGTCGCCGTACTTGGGTCCACCAGACCCTCCGGAGGCGTTCCCAGTTTGGCGAGTTTCATCATTTGCTCCAGGAGCTGCGCCTGGATGACGGCCGATTTCAGCGGTACTTCCGCCTGTCTCGCGCCCAATTTGATGACCTCTTGTCCCGCGTCGGAGTGAGGATCACCCTCCAGGACACCAACTACAGGCGCTCTATCCCAGCTGCGGAGCGCCTGTCCATCTGTCTTCGGTTAGTAAATGTGTATGTATTTTAAATGCAGTATATTATATATGTTAAATACAGTATGCTAAAATACGCTATGCTATCAATGTTTCTCAAACTAAAACTATGGATACTACTGTTGGTGCTCTCTCTAGTGATACTCAGTAGGTCTTTGTATTTTAAGTCCTGATTTAGTTTTATTTAGACCTGATTTTATTCTGGTATAATCGTGGTTTAGACCTGGTTGAGTCCTACTTTTGTCCTGGTTTAGACCTGGTTTTTCAGTCACGGTTTAATCCTTGTTAATTTGTGATTTAGGCTTCCTTTAAATTCAATAAAGTGGTACTATTGCAGTGTACTTATAATAATATTATAATATTATAATAATATTATAATATTATAATAATAATATATTATTATAATAACATTATAATAATATTTATAACAATGTTTTCTAGGTTTCTTGCCACTGGGGACTCATTCAGGACCATAGCGTCCAGCTACAGGGTTGGTGTCTCCACGGTGTGCCAGATCGTCCCCCAGGTAGTGACTGCCATCTGGGACTGCCTTGTGGAGGACTACATGGCTGTGCCCACCACTGATGACTGGAGGTCCATCGCAGAGGGATTCCAGGAGCGGTGGAACTTCCCTCTGTGCTGTGGAGCGGTGGATGGGAAGCATGTGGTGATGAAGGCACCCCCCAACTCAGGATCCCAGTTCCACAATTACAAGGGAACCTTCTCCATCGTTCTCCTTGCAGTTGTGGATGCGAAGTATCGCTTCCGGGTGATCGATGTTGGGGGGTACGGCAGGACCAGTGACGGTGGGATTCTGGGGAACTCCGCCTTTGGACTGGCTCTCCGGGCTGGCACACTTCATCTGCCTCCTGACCAGCCTCTACCTGGTGCTGAAGAAAGAGGACCCCAGCCCCATGTTTTCGTCGCTGATGAGGCGTTCCCGCTGCGGAGGAACCTCATGCGGCCCTTCCCTGGACGCACCCTTCCCTTCTTCACTGACCCTGCTGCTGACCCACTCCTCTTCTCCATCTCCTTCCTCTTCTCCTTCAGGTAGGTGTCCCTGAGGCTTTTCCACTTTTTTCTGCACACATCCTCTGAATAAACACATTATCTTGTTAGCGAAAAGTAGCTGTAGGGGGGAAATAGTTGTAAAAAACGGCGGGAAGGCCGCGTGTCGATAAACGTGTACGTGACTCAAAAGTGAAATGTGTATTTACAACTTACCAGGTTGCCCAATCTCCTCACCGACACTCTTCCAAGCGAGGTCCTTTTTATTCCTGTCTCTATAGAAATATGAACTTGTGTCATAAATCTCTGGGTGACTGCTCACTGATAATATCAGTCGTTCCTCCATTTAGAATGAGTGACTCCGGGCGGGCCTGCCACCACAGCAGCAAGCAGGCTCCTGATTGGTTAACGCGGCGCGAATTGACGCCAAAGTTAAAATTTTTCAACTCGGGCGTCAGACGCGAATTTGCGTCAAACGCGTAAATCCACAAAAAGCACCATTCGCGCGAAACGCTCAATTCGCGTCTTCCTCGCCGCGCTAAACGCCTCATTCGTGCCGCGAGACCTCCAGACGCGCGTAAACGCGTCTTTACATTGACTTAACATTGAAATCATTCGCGCCAGACGCTTTATTTGCGTTTGGTGTGAACGCAGCATAAAGGAATTACTAATTTTTTGGACCAGTATTCTAAAGTGAAGATTGTGATAACTCACTAGTAATTACTGAAGTCATTGTAAACTTTTGAAGTTTTTGTAAGATTCTGGTTAGTAATTCATTTTGCTAGATTTGGTAACACTTAAATCATTACTAGTGGGTTACCGTGATCTTCACTTTAGAATACTGATCCAAATAATTAGTAGTTTCTTCAGAAGGATGTAGTTGCACCTAAATAATTTCTATCCAGAACCTTACATGTGTCTCAAAAGCTTTTCATTTTAGAATACTGATCCAAGTGTAGGGTTGAAAATGATCAAAGACTTCTGCTTTCCTGTCCCAAACCCAAATCTTGAATAACAAAGGAGCCATTTGGCATTCCTGAAGGCACAGAGGTGCTGATAGTGATCAAGGCCTGTAGGTCAATATATACATCGGGGGTCTACTAATTGTCACACCTTTTGCCCAGTGGGTGAACCTGTAATCTGCTGATTGGTCCTTTTGAATGTCTCACAGTTGGTTTTTAGTCACATGGTCAAGGAAGGGATGAAAGAAGATTGTAACTGTAGCTCCGGCTCTTTTCGTTTGCTACCTCTTTTCTTTGTTGGAGCACTTCTTGGGGCTCTGCCCTCCCTCTTTTTCTTCCTCTCAGGTAATATTTTGCATACATGCTGGGTACCTTTAAATGTACATGTTTTACCATCCTTCATCTATTTTGTAACCAATTTAAGTGTAACCATAACAAAATACTGTTAATAAACCATAAATTATGTGCTAACTAGACTTGAATCAACATTACCTTTGAAGTGCTACCAATACAATATAGTCACACAATAGCAACACTCTCCCACACATTTAGCTATTATAACTGCTTATTTCCGTCGTTGGTATAAGTGGCAGTGGGTGGTAACAGACAAGAAATGTACAGTTTTATACCATCGTGCTGATAACGTTTCTTTAGTCATTCGCCAATCCTACAGCCTGAACCACTGTAGGGAAAACACCCTTACAAAATGAACAACAAATAAAAAGTATTGAGTACACTCGCCTGAAAATATCTCCCAGTTTTTGTTATTTCAATTTTATTAGTGTGCAGATATTTTCCTTTTTCTTCATATTTAAGAGAGTGTACTGGGATTTGCTGTCCTGGAAATTGAACACAAATGGTAAAATGGTACCTCATGTCTTTGTCATGTGTCTATTGTCTTTTTTTTTTACAGGTGCCCCCCTTAACTGCCATAAAGGGAACCATGAAAATCCATCAGGTGATGAGTTCCTTGCCAGGGAATATCCAGTACAGAGACATAGCCTGTCTCTGCTAAAGAGAGCAGGGAGTCATGGACTGTCCATGCCTTAGGCCCAAATCCCAATTCTATTTTATACCCCTTCCCCTTCCCCTACCCCTCCGCCTACCCCTTCCCCTTGTCCCTTGAAACAGAGTGTCAAGGGGTAGGGGTGAAAATATTCCCCTAAGAATTGGGACACCACTACTATGCCGTCACACGTCATCATACGTTGTCTAGTTCCTACAATACACACACATACTGGTGTGCATTAGAGCTTTTAATTACCGTTCTATATTACTGCGTTGCTTACTGACACACACACAGATACATATATATATATCGAAGATTGCGCAGCTCACACATCCAGGAGAAAAGAAACTTGTCAACGCTGCCCCATGACTTTTATTAATAACAGTTTAAATACTGAATTGCTACATTATATTTTCCAGCAACGAGAGGATATAATCGCTGTTTTTGAAGTAAACTCACTCTAAATAGAGAAACACACAGACGTGCATACATGCAACTTTCATCTCTCTCTCTCTCTCTCTCGAATTGGCGATATTTCAGAAAAGGGTTTAGCGATTTCTAATTATTGGGGGGACTAGCCCCCCTCAATGTCTACGGTGGCTATCGCCCTGATCAGACATGAACATATGCTGTGGCACTATCGTGCAGTCTATAATGACATGACATTAGTTAGCAAATATTAGCGATTTTTTGCAAACATTTCTTTGAGTAACATGACCGTAAATATGAACTCACGATTGAA